CCGGTCTTACCACCCACGCACACTCTCCTCCTCGTTAATCGCGTGGCAGTATCGCCTCGCCGGCTTCCTCCTCCTCGTTAATCGCAAGGCGTGCGAGTATCGTCCGTCGGTGACGCCACATCGCGGCCAACCGCAGGCAGAAGCAGCAGGAGCCGCTTCGCCTCCCGAAAAGCCGCCTCAAAAGACGCTACCGCCATTAATTAACCGTGGGGAGAGAAATAACCCCGATTCCTTCCAGCAAAGGAATCGGGCACCAAGCCCGCCACGGTCCAGGTTCAAGGTCGGGCCCTTAGGGGTTTCGACAGAATGCTCTTGTGGCAACAGAGTCAGGCAACCACGGGCGAGCCTACATGTGCCGAGGCCCAAGCAAGCTTTGGGACGCCTGCAGGTTGTGTCCGAGACCGCAGGGGAGGTCTCCGAATGGGATCCCACCGTGGGGCAGGCACCGAGCCACCGAGGCCCAATGAACGGCCTCGGCACCCACTAGAGAAACCCTCCCAGACTTTGGAGCGCTGCCTCTCCGGACCGCTTAGCCGACCCCAAAATGAACGGGTACGGCCCACACTCGGACTTACCCGATAACACTCACCGGAAGTGCCATCGCTCGCGCCCACCGAGGGTAGCGTGGCACATTCCACCCTCCTTCCGAGCGAAAAGGAAGCGAGGGTCAAATAAAAAGTCAGGAGAATCCCTGACGGCCCTCTTGCTCCGTGCAGAGGCTAAGGGACTCTTCCTGCAAAACGTTGCCGAGGCCCAGCGACTTGAGTTCGCACACGAGGGGTCTCGGCAAAAACCAACCCTCCTTCCGAGCGAAAAAGAAAGCGCGAGGGTCGCTCAAAAGCCTAAGAACTCCCGACGGCCCTCTTGCTCCGTCAAGCAGAGGCTAGGGAGCTCCTTCGCAAAGACGCCGAGACCTCATGACCTAGGCTCGCACCCGAGGGGGGGCTCAGCAGCAGACCTCACGCCAGAGGGGCGAACCAAAAGCTGGGACCTCGACCGCTCTCTCGCTCTCCGTGGAGAGACTCGGGGCTCCTCCTGCACTTTGCCGAGACCCAGCTGCTCAGCTCGCGACACAGAGTGGGCTCGACAAATGTTCCCCGTCTGAGCGAAAAGGATCAAGTGGGACGGGCCAAAAAGTCGGGAGGACTCCCTGACCGCCTCTCGCTCCGTGCAAGGAGGCTCGGGGCTCTTCCTGCACCCAAGATAAAACAAGCGACCCGATCCTTTCACGGTCCAGGGGGTTGAAAGCCAGGCCCCTGGGGTTTACGGCATGCCCCCAGGGCAAAAGAGTCAGGGATTTACTACGGCGAGCCTGTCACGAGCACGCCTACATGTTGTGTCCGAGACCCAGTGGGAGGTCTCCGAATGGGATCCCACCGTAGGGAGGCACCGAGCCACCGAGGCCCAAATGAACGGCCTCGGCACCCACTAGAGAAACCCTCCCAGACTTTTGGAGCGCTGCCTCTCGGGACCGCTTAGCCGACCCCAAATGAACGGGTACGGGCCTCCTCTGACTTACCCGATAATCACTCACCGGAGATGCCATCGCTCGCGCCCACCGAGGGTGGCATGGCATCTTTCACCCTCCTTCCGAGCTTAAAAGGAAGCACGAGGGTCGTGACAAAAAGCCGGAGAACCCCTGACGGCCCTCTCGCTCCAAAGGAGGCTAAGGGGCTCTTTCCTTAACATCGTCGAGAGCCCATGATCCGAACTCGCACCCACGGACCCGCAAACACGATCAAAACGCCTCACTCGAAAGAGAAAAAAGCCCCTCAAGAAGTGAAATCACTCCTCCGGGCCCCGGAGAAGCTACACAGGAGAGTGCGCTGCCACTGCCAATCAAACCTCAAAACAAAACACCATCCCGACAGGAGCTATCAAGAGCCAATTCTCGTCGAGAACCTCAGGGGAGTGCCTCCACCCCCCAAGGCTCGGGGCTACTGTCGATCACCGTGAGAAGGGGTACCCTAAGCAAGATCCAAAAACGACCGCTTAGATTTCAGAAGATCGAAACCAATTTACGCCGGCTGGCCTCGGCCGATTCTCCGACTCGCCCGAGGCCCCATCATCATGGGCCTCGGCCGATTCTCCGACTCGCCGAGGCCCCATCACCAGCGGGCCTCGGCCGATTCTCCGACTCATGAGGCCTCATCACCACGGCCTCGGCCGATTCTCCGACTCGCCGCCCGAGGCCTCATCACTGCATGGGCCTCGGCCGATTCTCCGACTCGCCTGAGGCCTCATCACCAAGGGACCTCACCATTTCTCCGATTCGCCTGAGGCCCCCTCACCGCGGGCCTCGGCCGATTCCCCGCCAGAGGCCTCGGCCGAGGCCACCGACCCTCCGTCTCGCGCAAGGCGGGCTCGGCAACCTCCTTCTACCTCTTCCTTCTCCCGTCCCTCTCCGCAAAACGTCAGTCGTGATCAACTCAGCCTTCGATAATCACGCTTCGACAATAACCTGCATGATGCCCGACAAGATGAAGAATGGCCGATGGGACAGAGGCGGATCTGGCGGGGTTACCCGCCATCAGATTAACCACCGTGCACATGGTTGACGCCCATGCCTCACTCAGGCCGCCAACTCCTGCTCCAAGGACAACGCAAAGATGGGGAGCCACGTCTCGAACTCTTATGTGGCCTCGGAATCGCATCTGTGGCCAATAACTCCCCAAGGCCTCGACAGCTTGTTTGCTTCACGGGCTCGGCAACTGAGGGTCCATGACCACCGAGCCCCCACGATGGCTCGGCCTCGACCTCAGAGCCACAGCCCCCTCACGACGTCATCACGCGATGACTCAGACGTCCCCTTGATCAAGGGGGGTTACCCGTCACTATGCTATCCACCGTGCACATGGTTGACGCCCATGCCTCACTGTGCTGCCAACTCCTGCTCCAAGGACAACGCAGCATGGGGAGCCACGTCTGGCTACTGTGGCCTCGGAATCGCAGACCAGGGCCAATAACTCCCCCAAGGCCTCGACAGCTATGGCTTCACGGCCTCGGCGGCTGAGGGTCCATGACCACCGAGCCCCCCACGATGGCTCGGCCTCGGCATCTGCAGAGCCACTGCTCCCTCACGACGCCATTACATTTGACCCCAAAGACGTCGCCTCGCCATGTCCCGCATCAAGCCGTCTCTGAGCCCCACGACGCACAAGACCGAAGTCGACCACCAAAGATGTCACTTCCGCATGACAAGGATTTGGGGCACTCCATCGACCATACCACAACAAAGGCCGATTACGAGGCTCCGGACACGCCACCCCATTTACAGAAGCTATGTAGCACTGCAGACGGTCCCCGGGTCCTCCCTTAGAGTATAAAAGGGAGGGATCTGGGGCCATTCTGAGGGGGGGCGAGAAAGACGAACACGCCGATAGAACCACGCACTCCCTACGCGCTTGGGAACAACGCCTCAAGCACCCCGCCACCACACTCGCCGAGACACAGGGCTAGTTTCCTCTCTCACCTAGCTTGTAACCCCCTACTACGAGCACTCCGTGCAAGGAATACAAGATCGATCTCTGACCGGGCGTAGGGCCTCGATTGCTCAACCAAGATAAACCTTGTGTCTCTTTGCGCCACCATCCGGGATTAGGGGCACGCAGCACAAATTCACTCGTTGGTTGAGGGACCCCCGGTTCCAAAACACCGACACTATGAATCCGGGCAAGTGTTCATCTAGATTCGTAGGTAGAATTATGATCTTTTTGGGACGGAGTGAATAACTACGGGAGGTAGAGATAATGAAACTTTGGATATCATAATGCGTGTCCGTTTCGTAAAAGGAAATGATCGTCCTGTTTGTTTCGCTAATAAGCTATGGCTGAAAATACTGTTGGCTGATTTGTTATGAGAGAAAAATAATGTTCATCGACAGCCAAGTGAACAGGGCAGATATTGTCATAGCTGCCCACCTGCCATCAATCTCATACGAGTACGTTGGGCTGTTGCATCAGGTAGGGTCATTTGCTTCTCTGCCGGATGATACGAGTGACCCATCCAGGCCTGTTTTAGTTCAGAAATCCTCCGAGAAAAGTGCGAGTTCGTAAACAGATCCTCGCCTTGGTCGGCGCTCGGCATGATTTCATTTCACCGACGCCGCGCGCATCATGGTTTTGCACTGTTGAGCTCATGAGCGGGAGGTGGTAGCCTCGCAAACCCCACGCCAACCACCGGAGTACCGGACCCATCCCCGCCGAGGCCGGAGAGGTGAGAACGAACGCTCGAGCGGCAACTGCAAAAAGACCAAAACGCATGTCCTGTTTGACACGACTAAAAAATAATACTGTTCTGACTAACTGTTAAAAAAAATATTATTTTATCTAAAAATACTGTTTACCTGAACAATGATTTCGTCAGTCGCCAGCCGCCGAACAAGGCAGCAGTCCGTGATCCTATCCTACCGATCGGTCGTCCCCCCACGGCGTCCCCAGCTTAAACCCCGAGCCCTGTGGGCCTGGGGCCCATCTCGCAGTCAAAAAGGCCCACCCATTAAACCCCAACAGCGTCCTTCCCCCTCATTAAACCCCACTCTCCCGTTTCTCTCTCTCAACCCCACGCGCCACGCCAGGCCTCCCCCCTCTCTGCCATTATTGCCCGCGCAGCCATCCTCTCCCTCCCTCCTCCTCATCTGCCCTCCCTCAGTATATGGGGACGTCCTGCTCCTCGCTTCCTCATCCAGTCCTCCCGCCGCCTCCTCTGCTTCCTCTCATCCTACTTCCCGTCGCGCGCGCGCAAACACGAGCGTGTCCGCCACTCCCCGCCTCGTACGTGCGATATCCCCCCCACCGCCTCAGCCCGCTGTCCCCTGCTCATCTCATCGCCGCGATTTATACCACCAGCAGCAGCCAGCCACCACTCCCTCCTCAACATTCCGCTTGTAAAGTCTAGTCCCCAACACCGGCCAGGACTCGGTAGGCGGGTGTGGGAGGTACTCTGCGTCTCTGCCTGCTAGCCGCCTAGGCCTATCCGGCCAGTACATGTGAGGTCCATCCATGGGGAAGGAGGTAGCGGTGGTGCTGGAGCCGCCACGGCCCAAGTCGCCGCCGAGGTACCCGGACCTGTGCGGCCGGCGGCGGCTGCAGCTGGAGTTGCAGATCCTCAACCGCGAGTTCGACTTCCTCAAGGTGAGGCATCAACGCCGGCAGTTCCGTTCCTTTCTGTCTCGTCCCCCTTCGGTCGGTTCGGTGGCCACGCTCTCTCGTCGACTCCTCCTTTGACTTGCCTCAATGAAAAACCTTCAAAAAATCACCACCAGCACCAGTAGGATCCGATTCGTCGCGCGATCCCGTTTTCTTAAGAAACAAGTGCAGTGTGTAGAAGGGGCCAGTACTAGTGGTAGTACTAGCGCGGGGAGATGCAGTAGTTTAATGGGCAGGTTAGCTCTGAAATCACGCCATTTATTTCGTCTTCGTTTTGGGGATGAGAGCCTAATGCGGAGGGGGGAGGGCGGCGGATCGCGGCAGCGCAGTTAAACCCGAGGCGCGACAGGCTTTGCCCAGTTGCCTTTGGGTAAGGTTGAAAACGGCCTCCCCTTCCAACCCGTTCCGTTTTCTACTTTCTTCTGTCAGTTTTCATACTCGCGGGATAAAGGGATTTTTCCATCCATTCTAGTGAGATGCTGTTTTTATCGAGAATTGATCCGTATTTATTCTGTTTTTCATCCTGTTTTAATCTATTTGAGATATGTCTACAAATTGATATTAACACAGAGTATATACTAGTGAATATTGAACCGATAATTTTGTACGTATATATTATTTCGTGAGTTTGTTCGTATATATCCAAAAATATTTGACCACGTTACTCTAACTTATTTTTTCGGCTCTCCATCTGTATTTATCTGTTTCTGTATTTTGTATATCTTCGTCCGTTTTTAATTTCGTTTTTTTCTCGAACCTGATTCCGTTTTCGCTAAAAATATAGAAACGGGATACGAGTTTTTCGGTCCGTTTTCATCCGTTTTCAGCGTGCCGCGGCTGTACCTCTTGGGCCGTGCGGTTCGGTGGCCATGGCATGGGCAGTGCGCAGTGGCCAGTGGCACTGGCGCGTTGCGCTGCCCGTGTCAGTGTTGCGCGTGGAGCAGCGGGAGGGCGTGTCCCCTCCACCCGCTCCTCCAGTTCTTGCTTCGCGGACACGCACACGGCATGGCTCGTCAGGCATGATGATGAGGGTTCGTGCAGACTGCAGAGGCAAAGGTGGTGCGGCGCACGGCGTACCGTACTGAACTGTACATGTACTACTGATGTTTATTATGGGCTGGGCTGCCACAGTTTTGGGGCTTTCCATGTTCTGAACTAGTAGATTTTGTGTTTTTTTAATCAAGGGAAATGAGTGTCTTTTTGACGCCGTGCTCTGCTTTAAGGAGCAGAGATTTGCGATGCTGTCCAGGTGATTAAAACACTTCTTTACTGGTCAAGTATGCTTTGGTCTTATTTTTATCTCTTCTTGCAACTTCAGTTGCTTTTCCAAGCTCAGCAAAGCAGGAGTCTCATTATTAGTCAATTACTTATCTCACCGTATTGGAGACTAGAATCCACCTTTTTAAATCGGTCTGTCGGATGTCTCGGGTTCACGTAGGCCCTATTTGGTTCGTCCAAACATGCCCAGACCACTCCTAGTATAGGATGTCCAAAGCACTGGAGGTAGTTGTCGTTGGCAGTCAGTGGTTTGTGTTTTGCTGATGGTGAATTAGAGAAGTGAACGGGAGAGAAGAAAATGAAGAGATAAGGCTGAGAGATGGATTTAGGTCCTCTCTGAACAAAAGAAAACATGACGTCCCTTGATGTTTCCTGTCCTCTCTGTTATGTTTAGTGAACTTGATACATTAATTAGATAACCACTTATTGTTTTGTACAGGAATTAGATGTATTGTTTATTGAACATTTATAGACAAAAAAGAAGGCCCAACTGAGGTTGCATGGACATGACTGGACCGAGTGAAGGGAGTGTTAAAAACAGCTGAATGCTTAATAATGAAGTTTGCCACCTGATTTATGGTGTATGCTTATTGAATATGTCGAAAATGCTCACCACATGATAAATTAAGGTTATTTTACTTATGCTCAACAATGCTCATAAACCAAACGGTTGCCAGAGAAGTTTGCCAAGCTTTTGGCAGTTCATGTGGCTGAGATCCAAACGGTTGCCTGATCCAATTTGCGACAGCCTGACTAAGTTTAACCAACCAAATGGTTATATTCTGCCACAGTTTAGGTGTGCCACAAGTTTGGCATATGCCTAAGCTTAGTTATGGCACCCTGTGGCTGCCACCCAAATAGGCTCGCCAAGGTGAAGCAATGGGAGCAGCTAGTGAACTGATGTTTGTCTAGTGGTTTGATGGTTTCAGTGTTTGCCACCACATAATATATTTTTCCCACAGAACACTTTTAGTTAAACTGTCCTCATTCTCTTTTGAAAATGTCCTACACAGCGAGGCTACACATCAGATATTGTTGGTTTGAGGCATAATTATGCATAGCTATGCATAATTCCAAATGTTTAGTGTTCCTTTCATACTATTTCTCATGGGTAATCAGGCTTACAGTTGGCAACCATGCTTCCTTGGTACTACTTTTACAAAAAAAAATTGAATGTAAACCACTTTCACGAGTAGCATACCGAGTAAGAAGTGCATTTATTTGACAGCAATCTGATTTTGCAGGACGAGCTACAATCACTTGAAGGAGTTCCACCAGTTTCTAGAAGTTGTAAAGAGTATGCACTGTTGCCCTTCCTGCATTGCATGTTACTCTTTCCTTGGCATCTGTTGCAAATGTCATGTTTAGGATGAAATCCTGGTTTCACGTCAAATGACATTGATTTTTTATTTTGACTAATTTTTCACCTTTCTGTTTCTTATATCTTGCCGCAAAAAAATGTTATTCGTTAATTGTACTTAACCCAATTCTGTGTCAGTATGGTCAATGGAGGCTATTGTTTCTATGTACTTATAAGTATTCACCAAATAACCCCACTCAGATCACAGTGTTTGGTACATGGTTTGGTTTTGAATGTCCACTTTCTTTTAGCTTGTGGTTCAGTTAGTGATCCATTCCAGCATGTTTCTTCCAACTTCCTGGAGGCCTCAAGTACTAGCTGATAATATTTTGGTTACCATATTTACTACGTTAGGTCAAATACTCAAAATTAATAGTTGTTAGTCAAAATTTACTTAATGCTGTATTTAGCTCTCCAAGTTCTGAATTCATCACTTGTACTGAAATTTGTTTTCCCAATGGAATGTGCATATGTATATGCAGTTGGGAAGGTTATTAAATTATTGCCTACTGAATTATTTCATAGTTCAGTGTTATGATAATTCTCTGGTTTTTTTAGGGCCAAACTTCAGCTATGTTGCATAGTTTTCTTCACTGTTTGAAGCACATTCTGTTTTTTTTTTTTTTCTAACATTCTCTCATTTAAAACCTTCCAGGGTAAATGAGTTTGTTGGTACAAAACAAGACCCACTACTACCGATGTATGACCTATAGACTTGATGTTATAATTAATTTGAAGGATCTACAAATGCTATTATGAATTGACTTCCTTTGATTTTTCAGAAAGAAGAAGACGCACAGATCTTGCCATCTTTTTTGGTGGATCAGGTTTGCATTCCATTACCTATTCTTGTCAGTGATTGTATGGCTGGTGCATCATAATCTTGATAATATTTCACCTAAAAAATTTATACATTAGATGAATCAGCAAAATTTTCTCCTTCTGTATTTCTTCTTGGTTACTATGCAACGCATGTTTGTTCATTTTCATATTGAATTTCTGCAATTTGAAGATGCTGATATTACTGTTTTTCCCTCCATGCAGATCAAAATTGTGCATATGCGTGTCATGGTTCTGCTGCTCCTGCCATTGCTTGCCCAACTGCAAAAGACCTTGCTGCTTGGATTGCTCCTGCTGCTCATGCCCAGATCTGTCATGCTGCAAGCCCAGCTGCAAATCATGCAACAAGCCCTGCTTTGGGCCCAACAGCTGTTCATGCTGTGACACATCATGCTGCAAGCCAGATTGTCCATCCTGTAGTTCGAGCTGCAGCTCGTGCTGCAATCTGTCGTGTCGCAATCCGAACTGTAGCTCGTGCTGCACCTGCAATCCATCATGTCCATCCTGCAGCGCGTGCTGCAATCTGTCGTGTTGCAACCCGAACTGTAGCTCGTGCTGCACCTGCAATCCATCATGCTGTAAACCAAACTGCAACTCGTGCTGCAGACCAAACTGTAGCTCGTGCTGCAGACCAAACTGTAGCTCGTGCTGCAGTCTGTCATGCTGCAAACCGAACTGCAGCTCATGGTGGAAACCGAGCTGCAGCTGCTTCAAGACCCTCTCGTGCTGCAAACTCCAGTGTAGCCCAAACTGCTGCACTTGCAGCCTCCCACGCTGCTCCGGCTGCAACCCCTGCGGCAGTTGCAAGCAATGCTGCTCATGCCCCACCGACTGCTGCAACTGCAAGCCAAGCTGCGGCTGTTTCAGCGCGCAATGTTGCAGCTGCACGGCATGCTGCTCGTGCTCAAGCTGCTTCGGTTGCTTCAAGTCCTTCAAGTGCTCCAACCTGTTCGGGTGCTGCTCCTGCAAGCAGTGCTTCAAGTGCCAGTCCTCGTGCTGCAAGGGGGCGCCGTCCTGCTGCAAGTGCCAGTCGTCGTGCTGTGAGGGTGAAGACGGCAGCAGCTGCTGCCGGAGGTCATGCTGCAGTGTTCCGAAGCCGGCTTGCCCTGGGTGCTCGTGCGGGTGCGTTTGGTCCTGCAGGAAGTGTACAGAAGGGTGTCGATGTTCTGGGTGCCGCAATCCGTGCTGTGCCACTGGATGCCCGTGTTGAGGTTGAACTAGACGTTTTCTTTGGTTGTTATTTTTTGTGTGCGCCATTTTAGATGGCCGTTGGTTTCGCTCGTGCTTTGATATATGGTGTGGCGTCCTTGTCTGTAAAGAAATCCCATATCACCAGAAGAAATTGAAGCATCAATAGTCATCAAGTACTATAAAATTCGGATGCCTTTTGACCTTCATGACTTCTCGTCACCACTCTCGGACAGCGTGGATTATAAGCTGCAAATGTAATTTTTTCTCACACCAAATCAGCTAACAAGTAAATAATCCACGATTGTTTACGACGAATCAACCAGCAGTAAATAATCCACGATCGTTTATGACGAAACGAACATGTTGTTAGTGAATGTCCTTTTGGCCACTTCAATCTGCATAAACAATCATATCACTTCTTATATTTAGGTTTTTCATTTGAGGGAATTGACTTATGATGGATCACTCATTTAGAATAGTTTGATTTTTTTAAACCAAACACCCTAATGATATGTAGGCAATGTCTAGTGGCGGATTGGAATCAACGTGGAGTACTTATTGGTGTTTGTGAATTTTTAATGATGCTTTCATTTGACACCATCGTGTCAATTAGCAACATGAATTGCGGCAAACGGGTTTGTAGTACAATTCAAAGGTTTTGGCGTTGCTTCCATGTCAATAAAGCATGTTTTGAGTGGCGTGCAATTTTCAGCGTTTTTTTTTTCAAATCTCAAAACTTCATAAATCACTCCCCAAATTATAAAGTTTCTAACAGATTTCCAGATTTACTATGACATGAACTCGAATCAGATGAATCTGCCCGCAAAAAAAAATCTGCTAGAGAGAAAAAAAACACATGAAAAATCTGCCCTCTCTTTTCACAAAAAAAAATGTCTGCTAAGACCCGTTTAATTCCAAAAATTTAGCGCGCAGCAGTCAAATCGAATTTTCCTGTTCCGGATCGGAGCGGGAGCACCGCTTCCTGTTTCTGTTTTAGTGAAAAAAAAACTAATTGTCCTCTTAGGTGAGAAAAATTGCGAGATCGAAACTTTTAAACCTAATTAATCTATAATTAAACACTAATTGCTAGGCTGGAGATACAAACGAAAGTGCTGGATTTTAGAGCCAAAATCAAAAAAAAATTGGATCTAACGGGGCCTAAGTCAGATGAATCATGATCCAAGGAAACAACGGCTTGAATGGCCTCGCCTGCGCGGTGCACCTCACCGTCAGTGTCCCCAGTCCCCACGGGCCACGGCCGCCTGCTCGGTTCGCTCCGTCGAGTCCCGAGCCCATGGGCCGGTGACGTCAATACGTCGTCCAACCCACTGGTGACACAGACACCGTGACAGCTGACAGGTTCCCAGGGCAATTGCAATGCTAGACGGCACCATAAGCGGGACCAACTGGAGATGCAGTCGGCAGTCCCATTAGTCAGTGGAGCCCCGTACTAGCAACCTAGAGAGAAGAATCGCAAAAAAAAAAAAAAAAAAAAGAGAGAAAAGGCGCCCGTGCGTACTCGCGTGCGTGTAGCCATTTGGGTTGGGTTAGCAAGGTTTTGAATTCCGCGTCGGGCCGTAGGCAGTGTCGCGATGAAGCACCCAATTGCATTTGCGTTCGGGTACTTGACGAACGGCAGAATTACAATGCTGAAGGGAAGGAAGAATTATATTAAAATTCAGCGCAATGGATTCTGAATTTATTACATACGAAAAAAACTGAAAAAATATAATATTCTATTTAGTTTTTTCTATCGTCTTCTTCTCTCGTGTTTTTTTCTCAATTCAGAATAAAACCTTATTGAACACTGAAGCCAAAGCGTAGTTTTACGTTGAATCCAATGATTAATCACAAAACATTTGGACTTGTCGAAAGATCTAATGTTTCAAAACTAGTCTTAAACGCATCTGAATGATGAAAGAACATCCACAATTGCATTGTCAAATATAACATAGGTTGCAGATTTGTCACCTCCAACCCTTTATGATTTCCTCTCCGCGACCATTAACATGAATTGATGATATGAAATTATTGTCCTTGTGGGGAGTGCTGAGGAGCACTCATTCCTTGCAGATACATAATGATCACAAATTGGTCTCCCGTCGATAAAATCGACGTCTACAACGGTAACCTCATCGTGGCAACCAACAAAATCATTACGGCTAACAAGATTCTGACCAAACATTATTTGATTTAGTTGATAGACTTATTTGAGCTAAACTCTAAGCAAATTAGATATCAAATTTGCTGATCTCTTATTCTTTTTATGGCATAATTGGAGAGAAAAAGACGGCGCAATGGGGGAGCTGCTTTTTTCTCCCCGATTTTGCAAGGCCAATTTTAGTTGTCCATTTACTCACCCGGAGGCTCAAATAACATGCCCGAAAACTATTTCTTTAGATATTTCTTCTTTCTTACATTTATGGAAATATTGATTGTGTTATCTCTTTAATCCGTGAACAAGCTAACAACTTGCTAGCTATAATCAAATGATTATGAAATAACCTTGACAAGATAAAAGTGTCATTGTACAGACATAAATCAACCGTTCTTCTTTTGGGTGGATGGGGATGGGGTGTTTGGTTCTAAAACAGTTCTCACTGGAGGTTTTAAGCTCAATAAGAGCCTCTTTGGCAGAGTTATAGTTTCTCAAAAAAAAAAGGGTGAGATTAGAGAAAACCATGATTTAGTATCTTAGGCATCTTGCCAAAAAAACGACTTCAGCCGATGAAGAAGCACAATAAATGCCCTGCCAAAAAAGTCCTAAATGAAATGCCACATAAAAAATATGATGACATGTCAAGAGATTTATGAAGAGAGAAAATATGGTTTTTATTAGGATAAAACTAAATATACACTCTTTTTAAGTCTATGAACTATGATACGTGTTGAAAGTGGAATTGAGGGGTAGAGTGTTTCAGTCTATCTAGCTATGCCTAATCATGTGCATCGTAAGTTCGTAACCTATGAGCTACGGATTGTGACTATTTAGTAAACAGTTTCAAACTTTTTAGGTGATATGGTAATCTTGAAAACCATAGAACAAAACTTGTCACTAAAAATAGTTTAAAGACCAAGAAGCACAAAGCACCCACTATAATTTTTCTTTTTCCATGATTTTGCTTTCTTTGTAACTAGTTTAATGAAGTCACAATGCACCTCCTGCTATGCTTGATAGTTGATATAAGAAAATTACTTTTACAGAATCTGTCCGGACGTGCTTCCTGGCCTGTGGACCAGCCTGACCTCCTCCCCTCGTGGTCCATCTAAAAACCGGAACAGATGCATTTCTCTTCCTCCTCGCCCAATCGCTCGTTGCGCAGTCTCCTCGTCGCCGCAATCACGATGCCCGCACCGACCCCCGAGCCGACGCTCCCGGCGGCATTCCCCTACGTCCCATCCCCGCTCCTCTCCACGTCGTTCCCTCGATGCCACACTCTCCGCCTCCCATGCACCCTCCTCCCACCATGCCTCCTTTCTCCCCGCGGCCATGCGGAGGGCCCTGAGCGCTCTCTGTCGCCATCTCTATCCCGAGCCCCATTTCCTAGCGCCTGATCCTGCTGTGCAGTGCTCCGCCCGCCTGCCAGGGTTTGCTGAATGTGCATGTTGCAAGTGTATATTTTAAGTGTTTCAGATGTTTCAGAGGTATGTTGCAAGTGTTTTCATATGGATATTGCAAAAGTAGATCGAGATGTTGCGTCAATGTGCATGTTATCTTGCAGTGTGTGTTTTGGATGTTGCAGTGTTTTATCAGATGTTTGCATATGTTTCATGTTGCTGTATATTATCAATATGTTTTCATATGGATATTGCAAAAGTAGGTCGAGATGTTGCTTGTGTTGCAAGAGTCTATTCTAAATGTTTCATCTGTTTTTTGAGACGTATCTTGCAAGTGTGTGTGATTTGGATGTTGCAAGTGTGTTTATCAGGGTGTTTGTATATGTTTCACATATACATTGCTAGTGTTTTATATGGATATTGGATATGTTTTTTAATGGGTTTCTGAGTGTTTTTAGGTTTTTTTACTGCAGTGTTTTATGATTTCGAGCAAACACGAGGACATATTTGTTTTCCTAGTGTTTCATCAGAGCAACCGCAGATGTCCGAACGTGGGATTCAGTGACTTGCCTTCAGCAAATGTTTCCATTTCAGATCCAGTTTTAATAGTAGATCAGTGTTGAGACTTGGCTGTTTTTCTCATACATAGATAGCAGATAGCAGCAAAAGCTAGTTCACAGTTTCAAAAAAAAGACAACAATGGTCCATAATTCAGATGGACATGTACATAGCAGCTCACTGCATTTTTAAAGCACAGTAAACACACAGAAGTTCAGGCTTCATACATCAGCTTATACAGCAGCTAATCAATTAAGCAGGACTCGGTCAAGAGCTTACAAAGCCTCCATCAACTACTTAGAACCTCTCTCTCGCCTCCTTCCTCCTTCCTTCCTTCCCTTCCTTTTTTCTCTCATCTCTCACACAGGCCTTAAGTGATCGTTTTCGGCTCCAGCTCCACGGCTCCGGCTCCGCTCACCAGCACCTCGTGGCCCGTGGACGTGAGCCGAGCCGCCGGAGCCCTGCCAAACAGGTCCTTACAAGTGCTGCTGCTCCTACATTCTGACATTCAGATGTCCACTTGATGGATATCGTGACATACTTCACAAAATACTATAGTTAGGTACTATAGTTAACCTGTCCAAAATACTATCTAACTAGGTGGCGAAGCTAGAATAGATCTTGATGTTCAATTTGCCAAAGTTGGCCTGTTATGAGCTGAGTAAAATTGTCAATGACAGTGTACTCTTGAAGCTCAACTTCTCCTTTGTCTTGCCATCATGTTCTCCTTCTACTTGAGGCTCTGCACCACCTTTTTTCTTTTTTTGCTGTCAAGAAATTGCAATTAATTAGAAATGTCAACATTTAGATTGCAATGACAACATATAGAAATGTTCAGATTGCAATAACAACATACTTTTGAAATCTTCTTTGCTGGTACAACGGATTTGGTTGGTTTGCGCTTCACCTCTTAACCAAGTTCTCTGTCTCTTTGATTTCTTTGACTAAACTTCCTTTTTCTTCAGCTGTGCAGCACTAAGGGCAATTGAATTTCCATGCCTCATCAGCAGAACCTCAAACCAATTTCAGGTATCTTCCTATCAGATTCTATCATTCCTTCCACAACTCAAATACAATTATGCAGGCATCAGCTAGTTCTGTTTGCACATTTGATTCTAATTCCACTAGTTCTGTAATACAACAGTGCAAAAAAGCTAAAACGCCTAATAGTCCTTATAAAAATCAGGCAATTAACAATTTAAATCTCAAATTTGTGTTTTGTATACACTTCGTTCTACATCAGCCAACGGAATCCTTACTGAGCCACCACTTGTAGCACCACGCTGGCATTTCAGCCGAAACGAGGACATATTTGCGATTCCTGGGGCCTGGGCCTTGGTTCTTGTCTTCTTCGGCTGCTCGCTTGGCACCCTCACCCTGCGTCCATTGCAATCCCGCAGTCCCGCACGAATCCAATCGAATCCAAACCCAACTCTTCTCCCCGAATTCCTCGATTCTGCAATGGCATCGGTGGACGATCTCAAGCAACCCTACTCCACTACTTCCCCGTCCCCAATCGACTTACCACAGCCACCACCACCACCCGCCGCCACCAACACCGCCGCCGCTGCCGCCAACATTTCCGCCCCCGCGATGCGCCCTTCCCAGTCCTACCTTGCGCGTGTCGCATTCCTAATCCTCGCGGCGCTGACGTCCGCATCGTGGTTCGTCGAGCCGTTCGCCGCCGCTGCAGGCAACCTTCGCCTGCCCATGCCCGCCGCCGCCGCCGCCCCCGTTATCGTCCTACTCTTCGCAGCGCTCTTTTACGCTTCGATCCACTTCTTCAGATCTTTTTTCCTGGCACGTCCACCGGTTGCCGCGATGCTCCAGTGGGAGAGGATCGGTGCCGTTGGGGCCGGGTTTGCCGCCTGCCTCGTCGCAGCTGGCGGATTCGCGTATCGGTACGAGTACCCTCCAGCCCGCAGTTGAATTAGCATGGGTGGGTTGCTGTGGTTATTAGACTTGATATTGTGATCTTATATTTACCTTGTGTAATTTGTATTTTGCACTTAGGATATTAGTACGGTATATGTATAGTAGTACAGTTGTAGGTTGTACTGATGTACTAGAGTGTTTGTCAAGTGAAAATACAAAGAAGAGAGAGAGGGAGGGAGAGAAAGAGGAAAATGTAGAAGTATCAAAAAGGTAAAATGAAATAAATGCTGTCTTCTGTGAGTTTATCATTTGAATTGTCTTGTTTTCTGCTTGTACGTGTTATATGAACAGGGGATACCTGTTTGACCCCCAAAATTTCTTTGGGAATTAATTTATGAGAAACAGGCAATGTTCTATGGTGAGTTCAGTGTGCAGGAGTGCTTACCAGTGTTTGTGAAATTGCAATAACTGCTTTCATTTGGCACAATCATCAATTAACATAATGTATATCTGAAGATTGAGGTGAGAAGATTATGCCCTGTTTCCACGGACATTAGAAGCTAATTTCTTTATTCATCGCTGATTTACTGAGCACGCTAAGAGATAGTGACAATTGCTCGCTAGTTTATCAAAAAGAAAAACAAAATTGCTCACTACATTGATATCTGTGCATTACTTATTTGGAGCAAGTCTTTCTGGTGGGTCTCAAATTTAGAAAAGGGGATATCTGTGCAGTACCAGAAATCAAGTTATTAAACAATGCTATTCAATCATCAAATACTGGCAGTCTGGTACTCCATTTGATAAGTAGCACCACTGAAAATTGAGCAGCAAACAATCCTTCTAAAAAAAAGTAAATGTTATCCAGTATATCAACTAAATTAATCTGTACATTCAGTTGAAAGTTATAGGAAGCTACATGCTAACTTTTCTGATTATGCCTTTTATTCTAAAAAATCTTAACATATTCGAACTTTCTTGAAGATTTTTTTACATGTTTGCACTGTATAAACTGATGAGCTGGAGCTAGCAACATAGCACTCCCGTGCAAAGGAAACCAAGAACAATTTTTCTAATTGTACATCCAGGAGATGCAATAGGCTGTTTTGGAACTTGACACTCGCAGAAATTCCTCAATGCAATAGGCTGTTTTGGAACTTTACTTTTACTAATTGTACATCCAGGAGATGCAGAGTGCTACTCCACATTTTGGGGTCTAAAACATCTAGTTCTTGTACTGTGCATTGATTCAGAGAATGCTGGGGAGTTCATATTGTGCTGTGTGTTTGGCAAAGTAAGAATAATGCTTCTCAACAAGATTTCATTTGGTCATTGGTATTCATCATATGATGTCATAAATGATCCAGCACAATATTCTTGGAAACAATTGGAAAACCAGAGTCATCATTGAATAGTGATGTTATACCATATTTTTGTACAAAACGTCAATTTATTTGTCTCAGGAGTTTGATGATATTTACAGGATTAGAAGAAAGGATTTGGCAGTAGGGACATGAATATTGAATGTTTGCTGCTTTGGTCTATGAGCTCTGGTCCTTTCTAATTGAAATATATGGTTCCGATGACTTATATAGTTTAGTTGAACAAATCTAGTATCACCCTTTTCCCTCTTAGAATAATTTGCCACATCTGGCACTCATATAACTGGTATCCTAATAGTGTTGCTACTTTTGTTTTCTGTGTTAGTTGTGCTTAGACTGGGAATGTTTCCCCATCTTCGCTTACTATCCTGTGTTTTGACTTTTTTAATTTGCATTTTTTGAACAAATTCTCGTGACTGCTGAGATCACTATATTTTTCCTGCAACCTTATAATATTTCTTGTGGTACCGTATACTTTTTAATTGCTATTGACCTTTATATCGATGTATCTTTACTGAATTGGTCATCTGAAGAGACCATTCGATCATGATAATGCTGCAGGTTTTCCAAGTTTAACCTCATTCTTCTGTGTCTCTGGTCTCTCTGCTAGAATATGCTATTTTGGGTAAAATTGCAGTTCTAGTGGAAATTTATGCAGTTCGTGTATGATGTTGACCGTGCACCAGTGACTCGTTCTGAACCTTCATACCTTTTCTTCCCCGGATTCCTCCAAAAGGTAGTCCAGGTTAGAGGAGCAACAGGATTCTGGTAAGGACTGTGTATGATTGCTATCTTTTGCATGACTGCATGAGCGTTATATAGCTTTTGAGATATATGACATAGTCATTTGTGGAAGATCTTTTTCTTATTGGATGATTTTTTTCCACAAGTTTAAGGGTTATAATTTTTGCATATATGAATGATCAAAATATAAAGATCAGTAGCATATGGTTGGTAGAACTTTGAAGTCGAAGAGGTATGCCTGGATAACAAACGATGAGGTCTGGTGGTACAACTGAACATGGGACCATGGGAGTACATTACTGCTTGCTGTCGGATCGGGGGCTCGGGGCATAGTATGCCATACTGAGCACATCGTCAACATTTGAGATATCTCTTGACTCTTGCCCAGCTAGCTTTGAAACTTCCTTCTGCAACAGGTATGCAGTGGAAGATTGCTGTTGCAGTGTTGCCTGTTGATGTAAGCCTGGAAGAAGCTTCCAAACGCAGAACGAACATGAATTCTTTTCAAGGTAGGTGCACTGTGATTACCCATGGGAGAATGGGAGAGGTGTGAAACCTGGCAAAAATTAATCTGACTCTGCCTGCTCGATTTCGTCCCTTCCCCTCCGGATTCCAGAGGTATGTTCTTTGTTCTTTCTTTTTTTTATATATTATATAATCAGTCGCATCTCGCATGGTTGTGACGCAACTCGACGCAAGACTTCGCCACTCCGGGACCCGACCTCCTCTCTCTGCCATAGAGACCCCACAGGGCGGTACCGTTCCATTTTTGGGCCTGAGAAAGAGAGCGCATACCAGCAAGTGTACGGGCAGTACGTGCCAAAAGATGCGATGCCGTTTAACGCAGACAGCAGCAATTTATGGTCACATCGAAGGTTTGCATTGCTAATGATAGGATAGCGAGCTAGCGACCAACTGTGCGTGTCATTTGCCGTGGCCCGTGGCATTTGCGTTTCGGGGCTCAGAGGACCGGCTAATTGCGATGCCAGATCTAATAATCGATATAAGAGCATCTCAAGTGGGTTTGGAGACTCTCTCTCTCTTTCTCGCTTAGAGAATCATTTAAGGAGAGTCACCCTCTTTCTCCCTCATTCTGTATTTAGTTAACGAAAAATCTAAAATAGATGATATCTATATTTGAAGATTTAATTAAAGAGATTATCAGAGAGTAATTTTCACTAAAATATCTATTTGTATAAATGTTAAGAAAATATTTAAAAAAAAAATCTCATAGAGTTGCTCTAAGTACAAATTATAGCGAAATTTCCCGGTTTCCCCTTTATAACCGTCTTAACGCGAGGTTTTTGCAAAGCTTGGCTCTTGTAAAACAATCAACATTTTTCATCGAAGAACCATCTCTCTAGTTGCAGTTCATCATCCAATAGGACGAGCACAAGCAATCCCATCCAACCCCGCCCCGCCCCCCGCCCCCAATCGCCGCACCACCACCATCCGCTGCCGCCACCGCCGTCCCAATCGTCGAACCCGAGGTACGCTCTCCCACGCTCACGCGTCTAGCATTCCTCATCCTCACCGCGCTGATGTCCGCGTCGTTGTTCGTCGAGCCGTTTGCGGCGGCCACCACCGAGCTTGAGCTGCACGGTGTCACTGTCGTGGCCACCATCGTGCGCGCTCTTTTATGATTGTGTAGACCTCTTCCGCTTATTCTTCCTGCCCCGCTCGCCGGCCGACCCGGCAGTTCAGTATGAGGGTATTGGGGCGATCGGCGCCGTTGGCGTCGGGATCGTCGCCTGCCTCATCGCTGCAGGCGGATCCGCATATGGGTACGCTCCGGCGTGCAGCTGAGGAAGCATTTGTGGTCGCATTTGGTGCAACCGTGCAACATGCAGTATATGAGCTAGTTAAGTATTGTTGTTCCTAGTGGTATAGGCTGTAGTGTTTGTGAAGCACAGATTATAGAGTTGTATTACTGTATATGTTTTGTCATGGAAAATTACCAAAAAGTAAGTAAAATAAAAACCCTTTGGTCATTATTTGGATTGTGGATTTCCTTGTCTCCGTCTGTTTTACAACCAGGGAATCCATGTTAGATCCAAAATCTTTTCAGAGTCAAATCCATGAGAGGCAGATGTATTTGGTGGTGGGATCAGTGCGGAGTATTTATCGATGTTTGTGGTATAGCGATGTTTCTTTCATTTCGCCCAATCATTTAGCAAAAATGTATCCCTGAAGATTTGAAGCAGTGGCAGGTCTAGAAAAATGAATCAAGAGGGGCTTATTTCATTATCTTTCACTGCTAGCCCCTTCTTCCAAGCTTCAATTGGTGCAAATTTGTAGGAGGGGCTCCATGGTCCGACAAGCGGTAGCGGGGGCTTGAGCCTACCCCACCCCGGTGCTGGATCCGCCCCTGATTTGAGGAGTATGCCGGTGAACATTGAAACAACCATTTTTGGTTTATCACTGACACTGATTTACTGAGCATATAGATTTGGTGCTTGTGCATGTACATCAATTGCTCATGACATCTCTCAAAGTGTAACTGAAATTGATATCTGTGCAATTCTTTAGTCCTGGCAAATCTTGATGGTAGTTCTAAAAAAAGAACGGAGGATATCTGTGCAATGTATACGACTTTGCATCATTTACAGCTTGGTACTAGAGAGTGTACGCGCCAACGCTGCGGCCGCACCAGAAGTGCGGCAAAGAAATCAGCCGCCGCACTTTTGGCAACTTTGGGCACCAAAATGCACTGGAGGAGCACAGGACGCCGCGGCACGCCGCAACTGCGGCAGCGAAGCAAACGGCTGCCCAAAGTGCGGCGCGGTGTGGCGTAGTGCAGCCACCATCCAAACACGCCCTAATAACATGATAAGTCCCTATTGCAACCAGACTATATTAATACGGTATAAGTGGTCCAATTTGGTATAACAGAAAAAATTTCATTTCAAATTTGATAAATAGCGTGCTAATGAAAATTAAGCAGCAAACAGTCCTCTCAAGCAAAGTCAAATGTTCTCTACTGTCTCAATTTCAAATTGAAAAGGGCTGTTGAGCAAGTTAGTCACTAACTTGTTAGTCTGTACATTCGCTTTAAGTTATATCTAGGTCTGGGCTCCATTTGCTGATTACGCCTTTCATTCTTATAAATCTTCTGTGATGTCCTAGTGTATTCAGACAATTCTTATAAATCTTCTGTGATCTCCCCTCCACTTGACGATCCTCTCCATTCACAAGACCCTGGCGAGCCATCGGGCCGAGGGTGAGCCCAAGCAGCTGCCGCGCTCGTGAGGACTCCCTCGGCTCCTGTTCGTCGTCCTCACGCCCGCCATCTCTGCGGCGTTGTCCGTGCAGACCGTCATGGCCGATGGCGCGCCCGATCTCCCTCAGGACGCCTCCGTTTGGGCCGCGCTGGCCCTCGCCATGTCATTCAATATTGCTATTGGCTCGCTCTACTGCTTCATCATCGATGGACCTCCACCGCCTACTGCCGCCATTGTGGAGCCGTGGTCACGGGCTAAGTCAGCCGGTGCTATCGTTTCCTGCATCACCGCAGCTGGTATAGTATCGTTCATGCTCCTTGCCTGTGGGGGTGCATCAGGGGCCATTGCAGCTCGCAGTTGAATTGGGTGCGTATGGATTGCAACTTGTTCTTCTATTAGCTGAAGTCGAAGCAGCGCCATTACCAGTAGTAGTTGTTGTTGTTGTGTTGGGTTTCCACTGTGTTCGTATCCTGATGCTAAATTGTGATAGTTCTGGTACTTCTTGCAATAGCTGTATATGTTCTGAAGCCAAATTTACCAGACAGATGACTGGCTTGTGTGCATAATTTCAGCATTATGTAGGTAGCAGACAGGGGACTTTGTGTTCTATAGTGCCATTTTGACAATTGAGGGGAATAAGTCCTGTTTCCAGTTGATCGTTCATCTTTACTAGCTGACTGCATGTCTGAAAATGTAACTGGAATGAATACTTGCACCATACAGAGGCAAAGCTTGTGATTTGTACTTGTGACCAGATCTTATGTCTCACTTAGGACCAGTGTATAGTAGGACAAGTACAATACACGTGGAAAAAATGAGTTACCTCATTAATAAGTACAAAACATGCTACTCAAAATTGATTATCTTCAGCTCCTCACTAACTACTGATCATACTGATAATTTCATAACTAACCACATTTGTCAGAACATAATTGAAATTGATGTATGTGCAACACTGACATCATATAGCACTTTTGTGCTTGTAACCAGGTTATTATTGTCTCTATTCCAATCAGGGTATAAACAGTACAATCAATACATGGTCTGGCAAAAAGAATTACTCCATTTGCTATGTAGTGTGTTACTGAAAGTTTGTGTGTTCAAGAAAAAAAGTGTTACTGAAAGTTCGGTAAAGGTTCTGTTCAAACAAGAGGGCGATTCAGATAATCTCTTGCCTATTTTCTTAAATGCTATTTCTATATCCAAAATGCTGAATAAACTAACTGTGCATTCATTTGAAAGTTTTTATAAAGGCCCATACTCCAGTTCCTAATCATATTTTCTATTCTCCTTAATGTACTCAAAATTTATTGAAGAATTTGTTGAACACATGTATGTGGTTAATTGGTGACCCAGAGGTAGCAGCGAGCACTCCTATTTGATGAAAAAGAAGAATTAAAAGAACTGGTTTACATTCCATGTTTTTCCTTTTACTGATTGTACATCAAGCAAACACAAGCGGCTACTCCACATATAAGGCCTAAAGCATCTATTGTGTCAAGGTGTTGATTGATTCAGAGAATGGGAACTCATGTTATGCCATGTATATACTGTTTAGCGAAGTAAGAAAGTTCTGCCAAGGGACACATTTGACACATCTGTGATCATCGTATAATATCATACATGGCACAAGTTATCCACCACCTTGGTCCAGCAGAGTGTTTTTGTAAACAAATGGCAGCCAGAGTCCAGAGCTTAGCATAATTGACTAGACTCTACAGAATTATGCATTCAATGGGGTTTTTGACCATTCTGTTTGTATAGCATCAATTTGTGGTACTCTCAGTTGGATTTAGACATCATTCTATGGATTAGGAATTTAGGATGACCAGATGGGGAGGGGAAAGATTTGGCAGAAGGAATATGAAGTATCAATAGCTTTGTGTTATGATACTATGGTATTTTTTCTTATTGCATTTTATAAGTTTTAATGACTCACACAATTTAGCTATATAAAGCTCTGCATTGTTTTTGCAGAATAGTATACTGTTTTGTTTCCTATATCTGGTATGCAACCCTGTGTTCTGATTATTTTCATTTGTGATTTTCTTTTATTTCTTTCTTTTTCTTTTCCAAATTCTCTTGGGTGTTGTGATCACAATCTCTCTTTTGTAAAATGCTTTTTAGTTTTTAGTAATTTGCTATTGGCCTCCTGTATATCTATGTGTTCTTTACTGATTTGGTCGTCTAATGAGATCATTTCTTCATTCGGTTATCCCTCTGCTAGTATGTGTTATCTGGGCAGAATCCAGTTATGCGCAGAACTTTATTCTTTTGAGTGCAATGCAACAAACACCAGTGGATATCTGAAGTTTCATACTTTCTTTCCCATCTTTCTCAGGCTAGAGGAGAAATGGGAGTCTCTGGTAAAGATTCTTTTGTGTAATATTGCTATGTATTGCATGATAGCATGAGCGTTATATAGGTGTTGGGACTTGGGATATGAAGACATTTAACTTGTAGCTCTTCTATTTTTATTGGCAGAAGCTTTGTTTTCAACTCACATGATTTGAAATTATATTTTTCTTTCCAAATATAAGTCACCTAAGCAGAAGGTCCCATATAATATTTTTTGACAGAACTATGGGGTGGAAGAGGTACCTTGTGCACACCTGGACAATAAACCTTGTAACTTCCGGCGGTGGAACTAACCATGGAGGGACCTTGTGAGTAGCTTGCAGTTGTAACTAGTCATAATATGTCATTGCTGGACGTGTGACATCAATTATTATTGAAATTTTGGTTTATCTCCTGTATTTTTGTTCAGCTACCTTCTGTCAAAGTTTTTTCTTTTTTGAGGAAACAGGGAGCCCCTACTGGATATATAAACAGGGACGAAGCTGGAAAAAAATTTAGGAGGGGCTGAACAAAAGAATAGAGGCTTTTTTATCTTCTCTTAACTTTAGCCCCTCCTACCTAATACATATATGCATAAAAATTTAAGGGAGGACTTAGGGGGCTCCACGTGCCCAGATCGGTAGGGGGGGCTAGAGCCTCTCCCAGCCCCACCGCTGGCTCTGTCGCTGTATATAAATAGATATTAAAGAAAAGAAAAAAACAGCCAGTCCAAAAGAAAAAAAACACAGAGAAAAAGATTACAAGAACCGATCTAGCCAGTCACTAGACACTAATGCTAGGAAAGTAACTCTTCTTCGCATGATGTCTGTCAAGGGATTAGCAGTTGAAGCTTACTATCTGCACATATTTTGATATAGCATTGATTTTTTTGCTTCAGCCTTCGTTTAATCATGTGGCATGATTCTTGCCTCTGTGACCCAGCACTTATATTTAGTGATGCAACATGTAATCAGTCCAATTATTCTGACGTTCTTAACTGTTTTTTTATAGTGTCAGCTCATTTTACGTCCTTTCACCTATAAGTCCGTAACATCTCTGGAGTTTTGAAATATTTAACAAAAAATGAGAAAATTACTGGAAGCGTTGTGTAGCCCTTTAATCAGACCATTTGTTTGTATACGGCACCTTTGAGTCAAAAACCTTAGAAATCTGAAATTTATAGATTTCAGGATAAAAAGGAGTTCTGATTACTATTGTGTACAGCTAGTGTTGCATGGTAGTAGTACATCTAACTTACTTGTGGAAGCTCTTGTATTTTGATTGGCAGAAACCTTATCCACTCATAGTTTTATCAGCTATAATTTTTGCATCTGACTGATCAAAACTGAAGAGGTGCCCTGTGAACACCTTGACGAGGACTTCACTTCTACATAAACAACCACACCACCTATAGCTATAGTACCATCCATTCCACTACCTGAAGCTAGTCAGCAATTCACAAATTTTACACAAGAAGAGATCGAAATGTACTCCTAATCAGGAACCTTGGAGTTGAAAACAAAGATATTTGAGCTGATATTTTGTGCTGTATTTGTGGCTGTCCACAATGAAGTCACCACTTGCAGCCAGCTAGAGTATAGTAGGCTAAAATATTTGTTTGTTATTTATTAGCTGTCCAGATTCATGGAACAACCTCCATATTAACAGTAGTAACAGACTTAGCCATCGCCAGTACATTATAGTAGCATGCACTGTAGCAGCAGCCATTTTGGCTATAAAAGGAGGGTACCTCCATATGTAAGAGTTGGGTTTTGTTTTAGTTTAGTTCAGTTCCTTTGGAAACTACTGCTTGTGTTGTCTCTTGTGTCGGTTAGACCAACAAACCAACCTCTACTCAAAGCCCCATCTTAATATTTCACTACATACTTACAATTTCAAATTGCTTGCACCTTGTTCTTGCTGATTTTCTTCTATTCCTGAACAGACCCTAGTGGTCAAGATCAACTTGGTTTTGGCTAGGCTGATAACATCTCAAGGATTGGTTCAGCGGTTGCTAGGCTATTGGAACTTTTTGGTCAGTAGCCTGTATCGTGTGAGTCACCCTCACAATTGGAAGGCATCTCATCTTACCGAAAGGTTGGGCCACTAAAGTGTCACATCAACTGGTATTCGGAGCAAAGGTTAATCGGTGAGACTGAGTTTTTAGTAGTAGTGTTCTTTTACCTGTAATCCAAAAAAGAAAGAGAGAGTTTGCCACATCCTATCCAAACGAGTTTGAGCCTAGTTTGCAATCTCTTTTCAGTTTATGCTTTGTTGAATCTCTGGGTTGTATTGTCATATGTTAAGTTGCTGGTCATAGTTCTTGCTTAAAGCTTCTAGTTAAGATCTATCTTCAAAAAGAAAGAAGAGAAAGTAAATTTGTCTTTGGCAACTTTAGTGTGAAAGCTAAAAAGGAATAGCAGCTGAGAGATAGCTGTCCAGCTGCAAGTGCTAGGGTGCAGTAAATACAACACTAGAGTTAAAAAAAAAAAAGAAAGAAAGATAGAGAGGAGTGATATTCTGTCTGGATTGTTCTAGTGCTAGACCATTTGAATAACAAGTGTGCACTTGTTTCGCTGTTCTACTTTTGGTTTCCTTGCCAAAACTAAGTTAGTTATAGCTTGTGATTGAGTTGCACTTCTGAAAAAAAAAACAGAAGTGGTAGCCTTGTTGCATTGCAGGCTTGCAACTCTTTTGCCATCCCTTGTTTTTCTAAGCTTGTTAACTAGCTTTTAGTCTTCTATAGGGCCAGCAATGTTGACTAGGACTTTGAGTAGATTTTCAATTTAGCACCTACTAATTTGATTTTGTCTAATCCTTGCTACATCAATAAACCTGCCCTAGCTACACTCTCTACTGGCCATTCAGGTAACATAAGCTTGCATTGACTGAACTCAACCCTAAAGATTGTTGAAGGCTGACCCAGCTACCAGTTGCACCACCTGTTTATTTTGGTAAGAACATGTAAGTACTTGGTAAGAGTTTGAGTGTGAGTGCCTTTGAATTTCCACTTTCCACATCCTA